TGTATAGACAGGTGTGTGGCTTTCCTAATCACGTCCAATCAGTATAATCAAACACCGCTGGACTCAAATGAAGGTGTAGAACCATCTCAGGGATGATCAGATGAAATGGACAGAGCCTAAGTTAAATATATGAGTGTCACAGCGAAGGGTCTGAATACTTATGACCATGTGATATTTCAGTTTTTCTTTTTTAATAAATCTGCAAAAATGTCAAAAATTCTGTGTTTTTCTGTCAATATGGGGTGCTGTGTGTACATTAATGAGGAAAAAAATGAACTTAAATGATTTTAGCATATGGCTGCAATATAACAAAGAGTGAAAAATTTAAGGGGGTCTGAATACTTTCCGTACCTACTGTATGCTCAGCCCATTCTCATATCTTACTTTCCTGCATACTTAACATTTTTAGTTATTTTTCATCTTAGTACTTTCTGTTTATTCAGTAAGTTGGATATCAGTGTGTAAAGGCTTTTTCTGCATCTGCCTTTTCATGCCTGAACCCCACGATGTTGGGGTTACAGAATGGCGTAATGTTCACTTTTGCTAGTGTTTGGTGTGACTGCCAAGAGACTCACATTCCAGCTGTGCCTTTACACTTTTTCAGTAATTTATTTTTTTTTTTGCTGGCTCAACCTCCTCCCTGTTGAAACATCTGTGCACGTACGCACTTCACCCACTCCTCTGCTCAGTATTTGTACTCAGACATTGAACATCCCCCGACACCTCCTGCACTTCTCCTCTGTGACAGTCCCATAGGCTCCAGGTTGTTTAATGCTTTCCTGTTCTCTCCCTGCAGGACTCCAAGCTGCCTCTGCCTCTGAGGAGCAATCTGCTGGACCTGTTCAGTCAGATCGAGAGGGAGTTTGAAAACCTCTACATAGAAAACCTGGAATGTATGTCATCATGGAGGCAGAAAGTACTGCTTTGGTTTAAAACAGCAGCATATAGTTTATGTAGAGTACTGCAGTCAGTCTTCTACAGGCCCCACAGAAGCAAGTGCTTTGTTGGAGGGCACATTTACAGTCATTGTTTCCATCCAGATTTCATTAATTTGGGCCTCAAGCTTTTCTAACCTTGAGGCTGCCTGCTGTCAGTGATTTAGGGCTGCACATACCATTTATGACTCTATGAGCATGACTTCAGGCAGAATAACTTTCTGTAATAATCTCCTGTTATGCCTTCTTGTTGAACAACCATATTAAACTTACATGCTTCTCTTGTGTGAAAGCTACTTGGTCTGAATGTGGTGGCATAAAGTGCAGGGAAAGCTGTACGATATTGAACAAACATGCACACATTTATGATCAGTGTGGTTGGTCTTATTGCCATCAGTCTGTTAATATATGACTTGTTTGACTCAGTACGCAGAGAAATCGAAACACTGAATGATCGTTTAGCTGCAGAGGGGCAGACGTTTGAAGGGGCAGATTTAGTCAAAGGAGCGCTCAAAACAAAAGGTGAGTCACACTCTGCGTTCATCTACATTAAATAGCATATACATAGTATGGGAAATCATTGCTTTTCCATCTGTTACTGTTCCTACCTGTTGTTTATCCCATTACGCAATTATATTGCTTTGATTCCTCTGACATTATTTTGCAGCGAGCCATAGTACCAGCCAGCTGTCACAGAAACTAAAAACGACCTACAAGGCTTCCACAAGCAAGGTAACTGTTGTTTTATTTTTTGCCAGCCCCAAAAAGTTAACCAAAAAGCCACTGATGTTCACATTCAACCAGCAGGTTGAAGCCTGCTGGCACATGTGTGTATACTGTATTTTGATCAGTTTTTATCAAATGTGGATTTATTGAGTTGAGGTTTAACTGTTTTCTAGCCCACTAGTTTAACATCACATAACTTTTGTATGTTAAAGAGAGGAACTGTGTTTTTCACCTTTTTGTTCGTAGCCACGTTCAAATTCTTGCCATGCCAGAGTAGGTGGATCCCGCAACTTCAGCGTAACCAGTTGGGAGTTGTGGGGTGGAGACTCATGGGTAATTTGTTGATTTCTCTCCCTTGTGTGCCAATATGCATGAACAGCCCAGCCAGGGGGTCGACACTCCCTCCCCAAGAGACTTGGTCATTCAAATGTAGGAGTTTGAGCTTTTTTTAAAATCAGTGTGTAAGATAAAACATGACAGTATTATCGCACTAACAGGCTTTTTCAGTTGCACCTCTTGACTTTTGGTTTAGCTCCACATTGGCATTCACACAATGGTACACTCTGGAGTCATTTTTAACACGAAGCAGCTGTTGCCTCCAAATGATTTTTGTGCCTTGATTAATGAAATACTCAAGGTGGAGGAACATTTGTTGGCTGCTTTAAACCATTGCTCTCTGCTGAAAAGTGCTTGGCCATATCACATTTGGTTTTTTAGCCTTTTCAGATTAACACTGTCTGTTAGATTTGAGGACTAGTTTTTTCTCTATTTGTCAATTTATCAGACAACTTTATAGTCAGTTTGTTTAAGTAAACTCACTACTTGTATCTAGTCATGTGAATACTGTAGGTTTTGGATTTATTTGCTCAGGGTTTGAGACATTGCTCTCTTATAGTTCTGTTACTTGATACCCATATTTAAATCCATTTAAAACTTGCTAAAACATTATATTAGCTTGTGTTAATTTTTCTACTTCTTCTGTAGAAAACATTTTCATATAGGGTCTTTGAGTTGTGCCAGTAGACATATATAAAGATGAACAGTGCATCACCACTGAAGCAAAAGTATTGTAAATATGGGGGCAGACATCTTGTTTTTGTGACACATTTTGCAACCAGATTCTGCGCAGTAGCACCCAGTGGTTGAGCCACGGTATCAGGCCACCAGTCAAAGCTGTCAGTCATCTGAAATACACACTTTTTATGTAATTAAATAACTTACAAATCAGTGTGATAACATCTACCTAAAATGACATTAATCACATCTGGGAAAAACATATTTTCTTCATTTATGGGAGCCATCACATCCTCCATTTTTTACAGTTTACAGTCTGTGATTGTGCCCAAGATACAGTAGGTCCTGACATTTTATATTTGAAAAAAAACAGGAGAGTTTCCTGCTGGACAAACCACAGTATCTAAATTACCTCAAACATATCTTTATCAATTCTCTGCTGACTATTCTTGTTACTTATTGCAAACACACAGATGCAGTGTATCTGCAGTAAGCTAATATAACCTGATATATCAGTTTAGCTTTGCCCGTCACATGGAAAATAACGTGCAAAAACTTTTATAACAGAGACTTTACAAATACTGATTTGAAAGTCCACCCTAATAAATTTACAAATTGTAAAATTGGTTGTAAAACAAGCAAAATCTTGATGTGGATATGACAGACTGTGCACTGAAGCTACAAACCGTAGAGCATTAAGTGCTGGGTGTGTTATATTCACTCTTCAGCCAGTTAACTGAAGCTTCTTTTGTGGCGCTTCGTGTTTCCTTAAACCTCCCAGTCCCTGTTGCTTCATTTTTAAATGTAACATGTTGCATCAGTGATGCATTTGAACAGGTTCTGGATTCATCATCATTCTCAGTGAAACAGGAGATACAAGTTACTGTTCATCAACTTCTGACTAATTGTCATGTTGTCTCACAGCCTTTGCATTACATGTCCAACTTAACTTATTAAAATAAAAAACAAAAACTAAGCTGTATTACACTCATGCAGCATAAAAATGATATACTATGGAAGTAAATTGCTTTGATAGACAGTCACCCATGCTGCTGATAACAAACAGCAAAGCTTTGCAGTGGTATTTTCCATCATGTGTTTGTATTTTGACTATAGTTTGTTGATTTAAATTCTTTTACAGATACAGTATCATTTTGAACAATGTGCTTTCTTCTGTGTGTAGCCTGAGTTTTATTCTCCAGGTGAATGATGCTGTTCTCTATGATCTCCTGCTTCATTTCAGTTGGAACTTATTTAGTGGACTGTGTCCAAAACGAACCAGGAGTCCAGTTTGTATCATCCCCATCTTTAATGTAAACACTTTGAACAAAGCTTGATGCTACTGATGAGAATTACTGATCGTTTTCTTCTGTCTCGCCATAACTCTGTATGTTTTCTCCCTTTCTAGAGTTTTCTTTTGTTCTTGCGGTTTTGCATTTACAGTAATCCTTGTATGATAAATGCAATATACAGTACTGATACCTAATATGTCTGCATTATGTTTACAGTGGGTACGGAAAGTATTCAAACCCCCTTAAATTTTTCACTCTTTGTTATATTGCAGCCATATGCTAAAATCATTCAAGTTCATTTTTTTTCCTCATTAATGTACACACAGCACCCCATATTGACAGAAAAACACAGAATTTGACATTTTTGCAGATTTATTAAAAAAGAAAAACTGAAATATCACATGGTCATAAGTATTCAGACCCTTTGCTCAGTATTTAGTAGAAGCACCCTTTTGAGCTAATACAGCCATGAGTCTTTTTGGGAATGATGCAACAAGTTTTTCACACCTGCATTTGGGGATACTCTGCCATTCCTCCTTGCAGATCCTCTCCAGTTCTGTCAGGTTGGATGGTCAACGTTGGTGGACAGCCATTTTCAGGTCTCTCCAGAGATGCTCAATTGGGTTTAAATCAGGGCTCTGGCTGGGCCATTCAAGAACAGTCACGGAGTTGTTGTGAAGCCACTCCGTTATTTTAGCTGTGTGCTTAGGGCCATTGTCTTGTTGGAAGGTGAACCTTCGGCCCAGCCTGAGGTCCTGAGCACTCTGGAGAAGGTTTTCGTCCAGGATATCCCTGTACTTGGCCGCATTCATCCTTCCCTCGATTGCATTAATGAATTGATTGAATTAAGGCCAAAAAGTTCTATCTTGGTCTCATCAGACCAGAGAATCTTATTTCTCACCATCTTGGAGTCCTTCAGGTGTTTTTTAGCAAACTCCATGCGGGCTTTCATGTGTCTTGCACTGAGGAGAGGCTTCCGTCGGGCCACTCTGCCATAAAGCCCCCACTGGTGGAGGGCTGCCGTGATGGTTGACTTTCAACA